ACCAGCTGTGGGGCCATCGGAATGGACAGAGCTATCCAAGGTCTCGCCCAGGAATGCTCGCATCAGATTTCCTCCAAAGGGGAGGATAACTTGCACAAGCTCCGCCGAGGCCTCCTCCCAGGTGCCTCCGCTCGCGCCAAGGCCTTCAACAGGAGGGCCCGCGAGGGGCATGGAGGGGTAGCTCACCTTCCTCCTCCTCCGCCTCCCCCCCTCTCTGAGCTCATTGGAGCGCTCGGTGCAAAAATCCTCCTCCTCCTCCCTCCTGCTTCTTGTCCTCCTGCTCCTCCTCCTCCTCCTCCTCCTCCTCCTCTGTCCTCCTCCTCCTCCTCCCCTCCTCACCTTCCTCCGTCCTCCTCCTCCTCCTCCTCCTCCTCCTCCTCCTCCTCTCCTCCGGTCCTCCCCCTCCCCCTCCCCCTCCTCCTCCTCCTCCTCCTCCTCCTCCTCCTCCTCCTCCTCCTCCTCCTCCTCCTCTCCTCCTCCTCCTCCTCCTCCTCCTCCTCCTCCTCCTCCTCCTCCTCCTCTTCCTCCCCTCCTCCTCCTCCTCCTCCGCCTCCCCTCCTCCTCCTCCTCTCTCCTCTCCTCCTCCTCCTCCTCCTCCTCCTCCTTCCTCCTCCTCCTCCTCCTCCTCCTCCTCCTGCCCTCCTCCCCTCCTGCTCCTCTGCTGCTCCTCCTCCTCCTCCTCCTCCTTCCCTCTCCTCCTCCTCCTCCTCCTCCTCCTCCTCCTCCTCCTCCTCCTCCTCCTCCCCTCCTCCCTCCTCTCTCCCCGCTCATATCTGATCTCTACTCTCACTCTTCTTCTGTCCTCCTCCTCCTCCTCCTCCTCCTCTCTCCTCCCCTCCTCCTCCCTCCTCCTCCTCCTCCTCCGCCTCCTCCTCCTCTTCCTCCTCCTCCTCCTCCTCCGTCTCTTCCTCATCAGAATCATCATCAGAATCACCATCATCAGCATCATCATCATCACCATCATCAGCATCATCATCATCGTCGTCGTCCTCATCATCATCCTCATCATCAACATCATCAGCATCATTAGCATCATCAGCATCATCATCATCAGCATCATCATCAGCATTAGCATCAGCATTATCAGCATCAGCATCATCATCAGCATCATCATGATCCTCATCATCATCAGCATCACCATCAGCAGCAGCAGCAGCATCATCCTCAGCCTCATCCTCATCATCCTCATTATCATCATCATCATCCTCATCATCATCAACATCATACGTGTCATATTCGTCTTCTCTACTGTACTCTTCTTTTTTCCCCCTCTTCCTCCTCCTCCTCCTCCTCCTCCTCCTCCTCCTCCTCCTCCTCCTCCCCCCCCCATACTCCGCATCATCATCATCCTCCTTTCTCCTTCCTCCGTTATCATGATTCCTTCCTCCAGCCTTCTTCCTCCTTCTTCATCCCTCCTTCCTCATTCCTCCTTATTCGTCTTATTCCGCTTCCTCCTCTTCCTCCTCCGTCCTCCTCATCGCCCCCGCCGCCGCGGCAGCGGAGGCGAGGAGGTGGAGGGAGACGCAGGACAGCGGCGGCGAGCGAGGAGAAGGGCAGCGCAGCCAGCAGGGCGGCGGAGGAGAATATCAGGGAAAGGAGAAGGGGGAGGAGCAGGAGAGGAGCAGCAGCAGCAGCAGCAGCAGGAGGAGGAGGAGGGTGAGAAGGAGCAGGAGGAGGAGGAGAAGGAGGAGGAGGAGGAGGGGGAGGGGGAAGAGGAAGAGGAGGGGAAGGAGAAGGATGAGGAGGAGGAGGTAGAGACGGAGGAGGAAGAGGAGGAGGGGGGAGAGTGGAACGCAGTAGGAGGCTGAGGAAGAGGAGGAGCGGAGGAAGGAGGAGGAGGGTAGGAGCGATGAGGAAAGAGAGGAAATGATGAATCAGATAATGAGATGGAGAAGGAGGGATGAGGCTTAGGAGGAGGATAAGGAGGATAAAAAGAAAAAGGAGAGAGAAGAAGACGAGAACGAGGAGGAAGAGGAGGAGGAGGAGGAGAAGGATGAGGATGAACTTGATAATGAGGATGAGATAGGAGGAAGAGAAGACGAGGACCCGAGGAACGAAGACGAGGAGGAGAGGAGAGGAGAGTAGGAGGAGAGAGAGAGGAGGAGGAGGAGTAGCAGGAGAGGAGGAGAAGGAGGAGGAGGGGGAGGGGAAGAGACGAGAGGAGGAGAGCAGGACGATGAAGGATAACGAGGAAGAGAACGATGAGGATGAGGAGGAGGCGGAGGAGGAGAAGGTGGGGGAGGAGAAGAAAGGAGAACGAGGATAACGAGAACGAGGAGGAGGAGGAGCAGGAGGAGGAGGAGGAGGAGGATGAAGGAGAGAGTAGAGATGAGAGAGGAAATAGGGGAGGGGAGGAGAGAGGAGAGAGGAGGAGGAGAGAGGACATAGGAGAGTGGAGGGGGGAAGGAGGAGGAGGAGGAGGAGGAGGAGGAGGAGGAGGAGGAGGAGGGGGAGGGCGAGGAACACGACAAGGAGGAGGAGGAGGACGAGAAGGAGGAGGAGGACCAGGAGGAGGATGAGGAACAGGAGAAGGAGGAGGATGATGATGATGATGATGATGATGATGCTGCTGATGATGCTGATGATGATGATGATGATGATGATGATGATGATGATGATGATGATGATGATGATGATGATGATGATGATGATGATGATGATGATGCTGCTGCTGCTTAACGGCTATGGATATTCGAAGAAGCGCTGCCGGTGCCCACGGGTCCTCCAGCCCTTCACTCCTCTGGTCCTCCGGTCCTTAGGTCCTCTGGTCCCAGACCCCCGACGTCATGATTTTTTCATGACGTCGACCCCCCGAGGTCTCGACCCATTCCCCGGGACCGGTTTTTCGTCCTGAGTCGTTTTTTTACGATCCCGAGGGCTGGTAAGGGCCCCCAAAGGCCGAAAATTAGGAAAAAAAACCGTCGTGATTTTTTTCATAACTCGAGGGGGTCTGGGGTCCTCCGGTCCTTAGGTCCTCTGGTCCTCCGGTCCGGTCCGCCGGTCCGCCGGTCCGCCGGTCCTCTGGTCCTCCGGCCCTCTGGCCGCGGGTCCTCTGGTCCTGGTCCGCCGGTCCGCCGCGTCGTTCGGCCATCGATCTGGCCCTCTGGGCCGCTGGTCCTCTGGTCTTCCGGTCTTCTTGTCCCTGGTTCTCTGGTTACCCAGACCCCCTCGAGTCATGAAAAAATCACGACGGGAGGTTTTTCATTATTTGTGGCCTTTGGGGGCCTTTACCGGCCCTCGGGACCGTCAAAAAACGACTCCACGACGAAAAACTGGTCACGCTGAATGGGTCGAGACCTCGGGGGGTCGACGTCATGAAAAAATCATGACGTCGGGGGTCTGGGTACGGTTCCACGAGCATCCCAGGTCCAACGCTCCCGATCATCCTCCGAGCAGGCCTGGAAATCGCGTGGGGAACCTGCAAGATTCTCCACGGCGACAGACGGAGAGCGACGACGACAATATGTCTTAATGCGCCGCACGTTGCAAATCTTGCTGATCCAAGAAGCCCTCGCATCGCGCCCAGGCAATGAATTATTCCGAAAACCGAATCCACCACCTGGGACAACGATATTCGAGGGCGAGCCTCGAGACGCGGATGCGCCATCCGACGAAAACAATATTTCTTAATGCGCCGCACGCTGCAAACCTTGATGATCAAATATTCATCAAAGACATGATTTTCCGAGAACCAAATCCAGCACCTGAGACAACAATACGGCAGGTTCGTGTCGTGCCGACCCCAGCGTTGGTTCCTGACACCGCGCTGGATCGTTCAACCTTGAACGATCGGCCGCTGCCGCAACGTCCGATCGTTCCACATCGATCGATTCTGGGCCGCCGTCGGCGTTCAACCTTGAACGCCCACGCCGGGGACGCCGCCGGTCGACACGACGCAAACCTACCGTAGGTGAGGGCGGCCCTCGAGACACACAGACATGATTTTTCCGAGAACCAAATCCAGGATCGTCGGAGCACCAGGAGGAGCACCAGGAGGAGGAGGAGGAGGGAGGAGGAGGAGCCCAGCGTACCAGGCGGGGTTCGTCAGCAACTACGCGAGCGAGCTGCCCACGCTAGAAGATTGGGGGGCGGGGAGAGGCGAGGGGCCTCCATCCGACCAGGACGAAATGAACAGAGATGAGGCGGCGGCGTCGGGACACATGAGCGACGGCGAGGCTAGCGCGGGGGAGAGAAGGAGAGGCGAGACAGCAGAGGGCAGCAGCAGGGAGGACTCGAGGGACGGAGCGGAGGGGGAAACGATGGGCGGAGACACGATGCTACAGTCGGGCACAAGTGAATGGGACAGGCGGCGATGCGACGCAGTGGGAGGAGGAGCGGGCGGGGGGCAAGCAACGGCAGGAGCAGAGCTCAGGAGCGAAGGACAGGAGGGGGGAGGGCAGAGGAAAACGGCGCCAGGGGAGGTGACGGGCAAAGCTGGAGCCTGGGTGCAGGGCACGGGGCTGCAAGAGAGCGAAGGGAGAGGCGTGGCCAGGGTGGCCGTCGGAGGGGCGACGGACGAGCACGGGGGAAAAGAAACAGCATGCCGCTCATTTTCCGAAGCACACTCAGAGGGGAACGGTGGGAGCGTCATCGGAGCCGCCGGCGACACTGACGGGGAGCGCGACATCGGAGAGCGCGTGGAAATCGGAGAGGGGGATCGCACCGATCGTCGAGCCGCCACCAGGTTCACAGGATTTCGTCCGACACGTGGCGACTGCGAGCCCGAACACGACAACGGGACTTGCGATCTAACGCCGACGGACCAGCGTCCCGAATCACGGCAGCGTTCTTGTGGCGACGGCGAGCCCGAACACGACAACGGGACTTGCATTCTAACGCCACTGGAGAGCTGCTCCTCTTCGAGGCAGTGAGCACGTGGCGACGTGTAGCCCGAACACGACAACGGGTCTTGCGATCTAACGCCTGGGCCCAGCTGGGGCGTCTCGAGGCATCCAGCATCTGGCGACAGTGAGCCCGAACACGACAACGGGACTTGCGATCTAACGCCGATGGGAGGCGACGAGGCAAGCGAGCCCGTAGACGAGAGCGTCACTGGCGGGGACGGCGACACAGAAGCACAGGTCGAAATTGGGGCCGGCGGCGACAATGATGAGCAGGCGGCCGCCATCCGTGGAGTTCTCGACGCCGTTGGAGGAGATGGGGTCGCTCTCAGAGTTGAAGTGGAGCGCGTCAACGACGGGGGCGCGGAGGAAGGTGGGGAGAAAGTCGCCGAAGCCGAGGGAGAGCACGTAGCTGGCGGCGTCGCTGGAAGCTGAAGTGCATCATCAGCGTCGGAGTCCGACGGGATCGTGGCGATGGCCGTGGAGACGGTGGCCGTGTCGCTGTCTGACGACGAAACGGCAGGGGTGAGCCGTGGAGACGACCCCGAGGATGATGAAGACGAAGAGCTGCGGATGAGGTAGTCCCGTCGGCCGAGCTGGTCGCGGTCGATCTCCGAGCACTTCAGCGGTGACGCAAGCTGCATCGAACGCACACCAGCGAGAGCGCAGCTGCGGAGGAGGGGCGGGGACAGGGGCCACACGGGCGCCAGCCTCGCTTCGTTGTACATGTTGTAGGCGGCCGCCATCGCCGAGAAGGTGGCCAGCGAGGGCTCAGATAAGCCCCATCTGGACATCCACGGGAGCGGGAACGGTCTCGCGAGAGCCTGTCGAAGGGCACGGTGCATGACGGGGCATCTCGCATAGTGCCGCAACGAGTCGAGCTTGCCGAGACAACCAAAAACGCAATGCTTCTGCCCGTCAGGAGAGATGATACGGGCCGAAGTCATCCAGCCATCAGACCAAGTGCGCAGGACTGCCATGGCCCACGAACGCGGGCAGCGGGCGAGGACGCTCTTGCACACGCCCCAGTCGATGTGCGATAAGAGGCCCGCCGACCTGCCAGCGAACTTCCTCAGGCGCAGCACGAAGAGGTCAGTGATAGGCTTGTTCATCATCGCAAAGGCCCGCAGCGCTTCGTGAGCCGCCCTCTGAGGACGAGGACGGGGACGGCCGCTCTCACGAAGTTCAGCCAGCGCAGCGACGGCAGCACGATCACCAAAGACGGCCAGAGGGCCAGGAGGAGGGGTGCCCGCGGCAGCCAGCTCCAGATTCTCCACAAAGGCGGGGGCCAACCAGAAGGACGGGCACGGCTTGCCGGTCGCCAGCATGGTCAGGGTGGCATCGTACGGGGCAGAGCTCGCGTGGTTCCTCAGCTGCTGGAGAAGCCTCTCCCAGCCAGGGAACGTGTGCAGCGCAGCCCGCGTGATGGTGGCGACCGCCAGGTGCCCCCACCGCGTGCAGCGCGGGCCGCCCCACTGAGCGATCTGCGTCCAGAAGTCGAGGGCGAAAGTGCCGAGCGGGATGCGGAACACCTGCGCGAGCGTCGACAACTCAGGCTGCAGCACGGACGCTGGTGGCCAGCAGAATTGGGCAACGTAAGATATGGTCGTGACGGCCCGAGTATTGTACAGTGTAGCGGAAAGGCTGGCGGGAGTGGATCCCCGCCCGATGGCTTGGGCCCTGAGACGCAATTTGGCGACGGGGTCAATCCACGAAGTGGACGGAACAACAGCAGGCCCCAGCCAGAGGCCCAGGTAGAGCAGCTTGGGAGCCACCTCGAACGAGCTCCACTCGGGGACCAGATGGGAGACCCAGTAGGAGACTGTGGCGGAGAGGTTGGGCGAGAACCTGTCAGACAGCGGGACAATCTTGCATTTCGAGACCTTCAAGGCGAGGTTGGCCAAGTCCGAGGCCATCTTCATAACCCGATATACATGAACTAGGTGGCGTATGGCCAATAGCGCGCCCCCAATGTCATCAGCACAGGCCCGAACCAGGCCAAGGCCAGCGGCCTCCACCCGAGACGCCAGGTCGACCAAGAAGACAGCCGTACTCAACGCATAGAGAGTGCCTGATAAGGCACAACCTTGGATGATGCCGCTCTGGATCCAGAAGATGTGCACAAGCGAGCCTAGCTGCGAGACAACCCCTTCCACCGATGCATATAGGAACGTGACGAAGGACACGAAAGCCTCGGGCAGCTTGAGGGCCCTAAGGGAGAGAATGAGGAAGTCCTGATTCAGGGACGGGAAGGCCTGGCCGAAGTCCAAGGAATACAACACAGGGATATCGGTAGACCCGTGAGGCACGACCGACATCTGACGAGACGACACGTCGAGCTCGAGGATGTTGTTGCCGAAATTCCTACCCGGGATGAATCCACGCTGGCACGGCGGGGCGAGAGAAACCAGGGCGGGTCGTATCGCCCGATTGACAGTGGACGAGATGAGCTTCAGGTCACAGTTCCTGAGGCCCAAGACCCGAACCTTGTCTGGGGAGCGGGAGCAGCTGGCATCGCGGAGCTCCAAGTCCGTGACGTTTTTGGGCAGAAAAATCTGGATCGTGTCACTAGTATTCGCAAACAACTCCTGGCCCCTGAGAACCCATCCAAGAGCGTCCCATAATATGTCAGCCCCCCACGATGACGCCGCCCACGCCGCATACGGGAGAGCATCAGGCCCAGGGGCAGAGTGTTGGGCAGATCGAATCGCACGCCGTAGCATATTTTTCGACGGCGGGGGGAGGTGAAGGTCGGCAGGAAGGTCAGGGGCAAGGCGGCGTAGGTAAGGAGCAGCAGCAGCGGAGTCCCACGGCTTTTTCTGGAAGACAGGGGCCCAGTGCTCCGATAGTACCCGCAGTCGATCAGATGGGACGCTGACCGCCGAGCCATCAGGCGCGATAACCGCTGAGAGTGATATCCTTCGGTTGAGAGGGGACCAGAGACGAGCGCGCCGTTCAAGAGCGCGGACCTGGGCACGAATCTGGGCGCGGTCACCTTCACGCCGCCTGCGATCTTCAAGTTCAGCCTTCGCGGACTCAGCAGCCTCAGTCTGGACCTGGTCGACCCAAGCCTGGAAGGACGGCGGGTGGCGGATCTCGACCTTCCCGTTGGTAATCGATATCATGTCTATGGCCAGAGGGGTGGGAGTCCTGGAGCCTGGAAGCCATGCGTAGGTCTTGTCTCCAAACCACACGGGCGAGGGCACGAGCGAGCAGGAGGCAGGTGTGCGGGTGATGTGGTCTGTCTCGAAAGAGGGCGCCCCTGGTCTCCGCGGCCGAAATCTTCAAAAGCTCCTTGTACTTTTCAACCTTGAACGGGGGCGACATGGAGTCCCACGGGATGCAGGAGCACAGCCCCTCCAGGCGACGCTTGAAACCAGGCTCAGAGAACAGGTGCTTGGGGATGGGGCGGGACTCCACTGGACGAGGCGGGCGGCAGGCAAGCGAGAGAACAACGGCAGCATGGTCAGAGATCTTTTTGTCAAAGACGGCCGCCGGCGAGCCAAGCGTGCCAATCTGGACAAACATCTGGCAGAGCTGCCAGCCCGTGATCGAGCAGAAGACGCGGTCGATCGTCGCGCACGAGTCGTTGAACTTCTCGTAGTGCGTGGGGTCCTCGCCCGCAATCTCGGTCAGGAGGGCGAGGGCCTGGCGCCACTTGGGCGCCTGCACGTGGTGGCACTTCGACAGCTTGCGCACGGCCGCCGCGGGGGCAGCGAGCGCGAGAGCCTCGTGCGTGGCAAAATTGAAGTCCCCGAGAACAAAGGTGGTGTACATGTCGGGGTCGAGGGCGGCAGCACGTTGCGATACTCGTATCGCAGCAGCCACTTCACGAACTTGCTGGGCGGACAGACCATGATTGTGAATGTTGAAAATGTCGAGCGTGCGGCAGTCATCCCAAACTCGGACTAGCATCACTCGGCCAGGAACCAGAACAGTGGATGATGAGGACGGAGCGGTGAGGCCCTGACAAGCCAACGGCGGAAGCACCACAGCAACCCCACCCCGCCGATGCCCGTCATCTGCGTCAGAGATGAAGCTGGAGTGGATCGTGAGGCCCGACGCAATCGATCGGAAGAACGCGTCGAGCTGGAAGTGGTCCTGGTGCACCTCCTGCAGCGCGATGACCGTGGAGAGAGGACGAAGACTGAGAACATACTTTCTCTTCAGGATGGCCTTATCCCCGCCAGCCTGTAGAAGAGCCCGAGAATTCCACGTAGCGATCCGAAACGTAGGCGCCGCTGACCCAGGCGGCGGGGGAGGAAGGTGAAATAGTCCAGCAGCGCTAAAGACACCACTGGCTGGGATCAGACGGATGCGTGAGCTCCTTGACAGCATTGCGGAGCGTGTCGATAGCCATGGCGTGCTTGGCAAGCTGCGCCGAGTCCCAGTAGATCTTGGGCGGGGTGTCGCCATGGAAGACGTTGACGTGCATGATCTTGTCCCACCCAATGGAGAGGACGCCATGCTCGCGGTCGGAGTAGAATCGCTTGCCAGGGTACTGCAGCTCGATGATCGCCCTGGCCTTGCGGAGGGTGACCTCGGTCTTGATGCGCTTGGGCGACTTGTCGGGGCCGAGGTGCAAACGGCAACGCTCGGCGCCTGGAGGGTCGACCCAGAACTCTTTTCAGCCGTCGGGTCCCTTGAGGAGCGAGGTGGCCTTGCTGGCACGGCGCGAGGCGATGGTGGCCGAGCCCGAGAAGCAGATCTCGAACCTCCTGGCCGGGGACTCACCCTTCTGCTTGATTTCATACTGTTCGTCATCAAAGCCATTCTCGCCGAGCCACGGGCGTAGCGATGAGACCACTGACGCCAAGGTAGTCGGTCGCTGTGAGACGGCAACAACGATCGTGGTGTCCTCTTCGCGGTCGAAGGAGGTGGGAGCAGCCAGCTGCTTCCTGGGAGTCTGTTCAGCGATGGCCATCTGGCGACGTAGCTCCGCCAGCTGGTCTTCAAGATCCTGGATGGACTTGTCATGCTCGTCGGCTCTGCCCTCCAGCGCGTCGATGCTGCGCTTCTGCTCGTCAAGCTGGGCTTGGAGGCGTCTGTTGAGCGAGTCGAGTCTGGGTGCGATCGCCGATTGAACCTGGCTCTCGATGGCACTGGATTGTTTTGCCACTTCGCCCTGCATGGACGACAGCATCTTGAGCAACGTGTTGTGATTGGAGGTGATGGTCTTGGCAACCGACTCTGACACCTCGGTGGTGATGGTGTCCCGCATCGAGGCAAACTCCTCTCTGCAGAGCTGCCGGAGAAAGTCACCATCGTCATCTTCATCATCATGAGGAGAAGGTACAGGAGCACCGACCGAAGACGAAGCGAGGGCCTGGCGCTTGCGCTGGGTGAAGCGGCCCGTGCCCTGGCCTTTGCCCGAGCGCTCACCGTCGGGGAAGGTGGGCATCTCGTCAAGTT